AATTAGGCCGGGCATGGTGGCTCACGCCTGTAATCCTAGCACTTTGGGAGGCCTAGGCGGATGGATCACAAGGTCAGGAGTTCAAGACCAGCCTGACCAATATAGTGAAACCCTGTCTCTAGTAAAAATACAAAAATTAGGTCTTTGAGGAAGACGCAGTGGTAGGTGCTGTGGATTGCTGATCCGCACGCTCCTGCTCCTGACTCACCGCTGTTCGCTCTCGCCGAGGAACAAGTTGGTCAGGAAGCCGCGTAGCAGCTATGGCTGCTAAGGATACCGCAAGAACTCCCATGGAGCCGGGGATGGCAATTCACTAAAATTCAACAAATTCAAATCGCTCTAACGAGCCGCAGGGTAAATCCCTGGAAAAGGTGTGTGCTGACTTGATCAGAGGCGCAAAGGAAAAGAATCTCAGTGGGAAAGGAGCAGTTTGAATCCGACGACCAAGACTTTGGGAATCACTACAAGAAAAACTCCAGGTGAAAACCCACAAGTGACTCATTGACTTGCACAGTTCTTCTGAGATTGTTCCGCAGATGACTTCCATCAGTATTGAAGTGGAGTTGAAGTGGAAGTCACCACTGCAGATGCTTAAGTCAACTATTTTAATAAATTGATTACCAGTTAAAAAAAAAAAATACAAAAATTAGCCAGGCATGGTGGCGGGCGTCTGTAATCCCAGCTACTTGGGAGACTGAGGCAGGAGAATCGCTTGAACCCAGGAGGCAGAGGTTACAGCTGAAATCACACCATTGCACTCCAGCCTGGGCAACAGGGCAAGATTCTGTCTCAAAAAAAAAAAAAAAAAAAGGAAGAAAAGGAGGGACTCTGAAGCCCCCAGAGCTGGCAGGAGTCGCCTCCCACCCCCAGCTCTGTGTAGAATGATGCGCACTGAGGGCCTGGCCTCTCCCTGCTAGTTCCCTAACCACAGTGAGCACGGAAGCCCACTTCGCTGGGAAAGGGCCTCTGACACCCCCACCGTCAGGCTGGTGGGAAGCCTGGCCAAGGTACAGGGCGCCATCCTCCCTGCCATCCAAGCCTCACTGCAGCAGGGGCTGTCCTGCCTGCTGGGCTCTGGCACATGAGTGGCCTTTGTTTGGGAGCTTGCAGGCACGGCCTCCTAGAAGCTACCCCTAACTTTCCCCTGAGGAACCAAGCAAGGAAAGGCAGGGCCCTTGGAGAGCTCGGGGGGTCAGAGTCCGGGGACTCTGGCCAGGGACCCTGCCTGTCGCGGAGCTGGAGGACCCTGAAGACACTGCCAGAACGTGTTCCTTGCCCACACTAGCCAGGTATGGTGTCTTGGGCCCACTTCTTTGTCACCACCCCGCCCTGGACACCTCACAGATGCTGCAGCAGCATGGAGGCCTGAAAAAACTTCAACGTGGCAGCGGGCGGTCACCTCCAGCCGGCTCCACCTGTGCACACCTGGCAGCAGGACTTCCGGAGCTGCTGGTGTGGGCTCTGGAGACCAGCATCTCAGGCATGAGGCCAGACCTGGGCCAAGGCCCTCCCACCCAGAGCCCCTCTCTTGATGGGGCACTTCTACCCCAGGGCCAGTGTGGGCAAGGAACACGTTCTGGCAGTGTCTTCAGGGTCCTCCAGCTCCGGGACAGGCAGGGTCCCTGGCCAGAGTCCCCGGGCTCTGACCCCACGAGCTCTGACCCCACGAGCTCTCCAAGGACCCTGCCTTTCCTTACTTGGTTCCTCAGAGGGAAGTTGGGGGTGGCTTCTGGGAGGCTGTGCCTGCAATTTCTAGGGCTGCCACCAGAGGGTGGTA